AAAAACTAAATTTCTGTACTCTGTGGACTTGGAAAACTTCCAGAATAAACTAACCAGCCAGAGTAAGGAGGTATAACTAAAGTCATGGTATAAATTCCTCTATGAAACATGGCTGTTAATATGGAGTGTCATATTAACAACAATAGAAACAACCTGTTAAAATGGAGTGTCAACTATAGTCTGAAAGGGACCAGGACTGACAAAGCTGCACCCCTGTGCTTCCCCCAGGGGCTTTACCCTCTTGACCTGCTCAGTTTTAGAGAATACCAATGACCTGAGCTATGAAGTTCTACAGTTGTTCATGATGTGCCCTATTTCCCTATCAATGTCCTCCTCCTTTCAATTTTATCACTTTATATCTTTGCCAGGTTTTATTTTTCTAATTAAAGTTACTGAGTCCTGAGTTTCTCATCCACCGTAATCTAGGTTCAGGTTCAGGAACATTTGCAGGGAGGAAGTGGGTGGGAGAAGACAGGTCAAATTTGTACAGCCAGACAAGTTTAAAAGGAAAAATTACTTAAATGAAGTTCAGGCCCATCCAGATAAAGGAGATGGAGAGCAAAGGTCCAGTTACACGTTGAGCTGGAAGGGGATGGAGAGACAGGCTGCCAACAGAGACTTTTCTAGAAGCCAACAAATATATCACCACTTCCTTGTTCCCTTGCAAAGCACAAGGCCTTCGTGTCAGAGAAGAGGAAGAAAGACCTAAGGGAGGAAGGGTTGAGAAAGCACTGGTGGGAGCAGGAGAGGCCCTCTGCTGTGCTACAATTACTGATTGTCTTGCAAGTGGTTTAGACCTTGCCTGCAGGTAACAAGTGACCTTGTGGAGGGAAGAAAGTGAGCAGCTTCTGAAATAGCTAGATGAGGGGGAGGGGTACAGCAGATGGGAAAGATCAGAGCAGCATACCAGGTATGAGGAGGGCACTACATGGGTACTTCCACATCCAGCTCAGTCAAACTGTCTGGATCTGCAGGGTCCACCATACAGGTCTGTTAGAAGTTTCCAACTCCTCTCTGTTTCCTCACCTAAACCACTAGTCTATGATGTAGGTCTACTAACACCACATCACAGACTACTGGGAAAGCAATGTAAAGCACTAGCACCCAGAAAATGCTTCAATATCAACTATGACTAATTAAACCTTTTAGTTGGGGGTGCTCTTTTGGTACAGGCCAAGCCCAACTGGAAATGCAAGTGTGAAATCAGTCTCTTGCACAGCAATCAGAGTGATCCACTGTTGTGGAGCCCATGGAAGATGTTGCATGCAGCTTTGAGTTTTTATCATGTCAGCAGAACAGAAACCTCAGGCCTGTTAAGTCCATAAAAGGCTTGGTGAACTTGGCTCCCGATGTCTGCATCTCATCAGAGAATTTTACACTTATTTTTCAAAGGTTTTCGGATATTTTAATTTGTTTCCTATTTAGACAAATGCTTAAAAAAACAATTACTTACTGTAAATTTATTCCATGTGTTTCTGATTAATTTATATTTATTTAATCAGCACCCTTTTGAAAGAAGTGCCTAATGGCCAAGTTGGTTTTAGTAATCCCTACAAAGCGACTTTTTCCCAATATAGACTTGAGATCAATTTTACTGAATGTGCAGGAAGATTCCAAGTTGTGATATCTGTATAAACCAGTGATTACAGAAGAAAAAAAATAATTTTCAATAGCTTAAGGACAATTCAAGATGTTCTAAGATGAAGATATCATTAATAATGATCAATGTTTCTTGACACTATCTTTATTTCTCTCCCTCTCTTTTTCACCTTG